CTCTGCCTCCCGAGTGCTGGGATTAAAGGCGTGCACCACTACCGCCCGGCAAAATATTTCTGTATCTTTATTGAGCCCAACTTTGTTTCAGAAACTGACTGGCCCTAAAATTCTTTTTTTGCATTGATGCCACAATTCTGGTTTGGTCCGTGTCAAGGGGAACAAAAGTCTAGGGGACCCCCTAAGGCTGCTGAGGGTAACAGTAGGAAGCTGTGCCTAATGCCTCTGCCACCCTAAAATCCTGAAAACCTCATTGGATTTTTTTTTTTTTCTTTTGAGACAGAGTTTCTCTATGTAACAACCCTAGCTGTCTTGGAACTTGTTTTGTAGACCAAACTGACCTCGAATTTACAGAGATCCGCCTGGCTCTGCCTCCCAAGTGCTGGGATTAAAGGCGTGCGCCACCACCGCCCGGCCTCCCTCAACCATACTTTGGAGCGCTCGTGTCCTTACTTTACACACTTAGGATTCACCTTCTCAAACCTCTCCCTCTGTGCTCCTCCATGCTGCCCCAAACTTCCTCTCTCTCTTCTGAACTATAGCTTTGGACTGCCACAGCCATCCCTGCACGCTGTTTCCTAAATTAAGGCTAGATTCATCTATTTAAAATGCAAAAAATCCACACCAAACCCTGGTGTGGTGGTGTGATCCCGACATCTGGGAGATGGTGGCAGGAGGATCCGGAATTCAAAGTCATTTTCAATTATATCAGGAGCTCCAGGCTGGAAGGAGGAGGAGGGGAAGAAAGAAAGAAAGAAAGAAGGAAGGAAGAAAGAAGGAAGGAAGGAAGGAAGGAAGGAAGGAAGGAAGGAAGGAAGGAAGGAAGGAAAGAAAAGACAACCTTGCTTTTCCTTTTCTTTTTAATAATTTTTAAAAATTATTTTATTTTTGTGTATGGGTGTTTTGCCTACATGCATGCCTGTGTGCCTGATGCCCACAGAGGCCAGAAGGCAGTCTTGGATCCTCTGAACTATAGTTATGGACGGTTGTTAGCCGCCATGTGGGTGAGTCAGGGTCTCTGGAAGAACAGCCAGTATTCTTAAACACTAGGACATCTCTTCAGCCCCTGGCCTTGAAAAAAAAAAAAAAACCAAAACTATTGTTTTGGACAGACAAACGGCACAGCAGGTTAAGGTGCTTGCCACGAAGCCTGCCAACCTGAGTCTGATCCCCAGGATCCATAGGTGGAAGAAGGGAACTGACTCCACTGTCCTACACACAGGCATGCACACTCACACACACACACACTCACACACTCACACACACACACACACACACACACACACACACACACACACACACACATAGTGTGTGTGTGTAAAACAGGGTCTCTCTACATAGTTCTGTTGGTCTTGGAGCTTGCTATGTAGACCAGGATGGCCTCGAACTCACAGAGATCCTCTTGCCTCTGGCTCCTCGGTGCTGGGATTAATGTGTGTGCAGCACCATGATATGGTCAACGGAAAGGTTTGTATTGTAGCTATGAGGGAGAGAACAGCCAGAAGCATCTGGGAGAATCCAGAGCAGAGAGAAAGCAGCAGACTGGACCTGGCCAGCAGACTGGACCTGGCCAGGAGAGAAGCAGGAGCAGAGGCAGAGAGGGGCCAAGAGGGCACACAGCCGAAATCAGGGGAAACAAGTAGCTGCGAGGAGGGAAGCCCGTGAGCTGGAGAAGTGGAGGGGAGGCGAGGGCCTGGATACCTGTATGCACTTTGTATGCGGATGGACACCATAAATAACCATTTGCCCCTTTGATGATGACAAGGGAAATGTCTCTTTTTTGTTGTTATTTTGTTTTGTTTTTTCGAGACAGGGTTTCTCTGTGTAGCTTTGTGCCTTTCCTGGAGCTCCTCTGTAGACCAGGCTGGCCTTGAGCTCACAGAGATCCTCCTGCCTCTGCCACCCGAGTGCTGGGATTAAAGGCATGTGCCACCACCGCCCGGCTGGGAAATGTCTCTTCTGGTAGAGAGGAACCAGCTTTGCAAGTTCCTGAGGAATGCTGGCTTTTATCTAACTGCCAGAATTTTGGGAAATGAAGTTTCCTTTGGACCTGACACAGTACTATATAGAGAGACCCTGTCTGAAAAAATAAATAAATAAATAGCTGGGCATAGTGGCCCACACCTGTAATTCCAGCACTCGGGAGGCAGAGTCAGGCAGATTTCTGAGAGCCTGAGGCCAGCCTGGTCTGCAAAATGAGTTCCAGGACAGCCAGGGCTGGAAATCCTGTCTGGAAAAACAAAACAAACAACAACAAAACAAAACAAAAAACTAAAGGTCATCCTCAGCTCTCTACTGAATTTGAGACCATACTTGGCACCATAAGAATGTGCCTGGGGAAAGAGAGAGAGAGAGAAGAAAGGAAGAACTTTTCAGTGCTGTGGGTTGGCACAGTGGTATTGTTGAGAGAAGCCCTGAGTTCAATTACAAGTACCACAAAAATAAAATGAACAAAATACCAGTTTCCTAAGAGAAAGGTAGAAAGGTTAACATCTTGAAATAAAAACTTACATTTATTTATTTGTTTATTTAGTTGGGTGGGCGGGGAGTGTGGAGATCAGAAGACAACTCTAAGAAGTCAGTTCTCTCCTTCCAGTCTGGTGGGAATTAGCGACGTTTTAGATCATTAGGCCTGTCACAAGTTCTTTTACCTGTTGATCCATGTCTCTGGCCAGAAAGGTTAGCATTTAAAAACTAGTACAAGCCGGGCAGTGATGGTGCATGCCTTCAATCCCAGCACTCGGAGGCAAAGGCAAGTGGATCTCTGAGTTTGAGGCCAGCCTGGTCTACAGAGTGAGTTCCATGACAGCCAGGGTTACGCAGGGGAACCTTGTCTCGAAAAATAAGACAAAAATAAACAAAAAATAAAAACTTTCACCAAACTGGCGGAGTCATTGTAGCAGAACCGTTACCAGGGATAGAGCCACAGTGTAGCATTCATTGAGTGTACACGAGCTAAAGCCCGACGAGGTAAAGGCTAATATATCATTATATTATCATAACCTATTTAATAGCCAGAAAACACAGCTCCAGGAAGTCAGATTTACTTTTCTGGTGATATTAACTCAAGTGGGGGTCCTGATTCTACTAGATCCTTCCGCCCCGCCCCTCACTCCCCCCACCCCCGCCCCGTCCTCCACGCCCCGCCCTGCCCAGCATTGCCCTTGTCCGGCCCCGCCCCTCAGGTTTCCAGCCCCGCCTCTCACCCGGATCCCACCAGGCCCTGCCCCCTCCGGCCCCGCCCCCCACCCCGGTTTCCTCCCCTCTCCGCCACTCCCCCCTCCCATCCTCACCCTCGCTAGGTCCCGCCTCTTACTCAGGTCTTACTAGGCCTCGGCCTCGCCCCTCACCCGGATCCCACCAGGCCCCGCCCCCCGACAGGCCCCTCCCCTCTCGGAGGAGAGATGCCTGCAGTTCCGGGCCATGGCCGCTGGGTGGCAGCCGCGTAGCTCCGGCTGGGCCGCTCTGGGCCGCGCTCCTCGCTCACCCTCGGACTAGGCTCCGGCTGCTGGTGGCAGTCGTGCCCGCGCCGAACGCCGACTCGCCGGGCTCCCAGCGCCGGACCCACCACCTCGGCTCCTCCGGGCCGGACCGAGGCCGCAAGCAGCGCCGCGGGGAGTGGGGCGGACCCAGGAGATGAAATGACAACGTCAACCCTCCAGGTACCTGGGCGCGGCGCGACCGCGGAGGCCCAAGGCGGCAGGGCCTGCGGGCCGCTGAGCGGGCGGGCGGCGGCCTCCTCGGAGCCCGGCCTGGCGGTCCCGATAGGGCCGCCTCGTCCCACCCGTGCTGCCGCCTCTCCCACGCTCGGAGCCCAAGGGATGTCTCCCCCGGGCCCCGGCCTAGGCCGAACCGGCGTGGCCCCGATCTTGCTACGCGCAGGCGGAGCTGAACTGCCGCCTTGCAGCGGCGCCGCCTCCCCCCGAGCGCGCCCGGGTCCGGCCGGTCGCTCCGGGAACGCCGCTCACTCGCTCACTCGCTCCTGCAACGCGCCCCGGCTGCCCCCTGACCTTCTGCCAACGAGCCCCCGGTTTCTCGGCCAGCCACCCTTCATTCATTCCCTAGATCGTGCGGGGCGATGCTGGGGTGGCGCCGCCCGAATGAAGGAAGGGCTCATTCCAGAGCTGTCAGCGTAAACAACGTTCAGGCCTCAGGCTTGGGTTTAAACCCCAGCCCTGCCACTCACTAGCGTGCCTAGGTTTTTGATCTTGGAATGTTGGTTTCCTCATCAGTAAAATGGGCAGTGCCCTTGTAGGGCGGTTGTCAGACGGCCCGAGACTGAATGATTCAAGGGGAAAGCGTTTGTAACATAGGTTCAGCACATCATGTGCTCCGTAAGCCTTTACAAATAAAAGTCAGCGCTTAGGTGGAACCAAGTAATACTTCATGAAGGAAGGGACTTTACTCAGAGCATCAAAGAGTGGGTAGCTTTCACATACCTGTTGGAGAGGGGGATTGGAATGGCTGCTCCAAATGGAAATACAGGAGTGGGGATCAGTTGGAGTACAAGGTTTGGAACTTGATGGAATCCAGAGCCAGAACCCACCATCCACCGGCAGAATTCTTACTTGTTTGTTTACTAGGGATTAAGCCAACTTCAGCCCGATCCCACCTGTCTGGCCAGTGTTAGCACTACCTATGAACCAAAAATGTTTTTTTTGTGGCCTTTTTGAAACAGTTTTAGTAGATCGAGCCCTTGTGCTATTCAGTACACTCATTTAAAGTATACCATTCAGTGCTTTTAGAGGTTTGTATCATCCCCAAAGAAACTATGGCGTCAGCCATAGTTCCCCAGCCATTCTGTCCCATGTAGCACACTCTGTGGAGTTGCCTATTCTAGACACTTATTTATGTTATTATTATGTGTGTCTGTGTATGTATGGTGTGCATATGTGTACTAGTACACCAGTGCCAGCACACGCATTCCCATTCCACTGCCTGTGTCAGGTCAGAGGATAACTTTCAGGAGTTGGTTCTTGCCATTTGGATGTTGAACTCAGGTTGTCAGGCTTGGTAGTAAGCAGTTTTGTTTATTTTGTTTTTTCCTTATGGAATTTCTTTTATTCTTTGGCATTTCACATATGTAAACAATGCATCTTGGTCCTGTGCACTTCCAGCTCCCACCAGGAGCCCCCAGCTCCTTCCTCATCCCCTCAGGCTGCCACCACACACACACACACCCTCTGTGTCCTCTCCTCTCCTCTCTTTAGTAATAACCCCTGAGTCCAGTTAGTGCTTCTTAAACGCTGAATGCTCTTGTACAGGTGACCATAGCTGCTGCCGCCATGGTATTCCAAAGACAGCACTTTACAGCACTCCTCCACATCCTCTGGCCGCTCTTGCCTTCCTCTCTTCGAAGTTCTTCCTTTAGCCTTGGGGACAAGTGTCTGCATTAACTGCTAACCACTGTGGAGAGGAAGGCTTCTCTGGCCTAGGTCCTATCTGTGGATATCAGCATAACTGTTTAGAAGACAGTTCAACAACATGTCATCTAACAACAGTGCTAGGTTCTTCTCTAGGGCCTGTGCTTCCTGAGCCGTGTGACTCTTCTGAGCAGGTTTACAGTGCCAGTCCTGAATTCCCTCTACAGAGCAGGTCTCAGGTCCAAGGCAGACACATTGAGTACCCCATAACCTTTGTGCCACCAGTGAGCACAGCTTGCCGAGCAGGTCAGTATCATAGCAAGTGTGGTTGACTTCAGGGATACTCTATATGTCTTTTCTCCCCCAGGGACCTACATAGCACCTTCTAGCACTATGAAAGCTAGTTGGCAGGTCAGTTTCAGCTTGGTTTCTGTTTGTTTGTTTGTTTGTTTGTTTGAGACAGTGTCTGAGTATGTATGTAGCCTTGGCTGGAACTTGCTATGTAGACCAGGCTGGCCTTGAACTCACAGAGATCTGCCTGCCTCTGCCTCCCAAGTGCTGGGATCAAAAGTGTGCACAACCAGTACCTGGCAGGATTTTTTTTTAATTTATTTATTATTATTATTATTATTATTATTATTATTATTATTATTATTATTTTTGGAGACAAAGTTTCTCTGTGTAGCCCTGGCTAACCTGAAGCTTACTTTGTAGACCAGGCTGGCCTCCAGCTCACAGAGATCTGTGTGCCTTAGCCTCACAAGTGCTGGGATTAAAGATGTGCACCACCACCCAGCTGAGATTTTCTTTAAATAGACTCATACAGTGTGTGGTTCTCTGTGACTGACTTGGCTGGCTTAACTTAATGTCACAATCTTTTACAATGCTTAAATGGCTCGGGGGCCTTTCATGACATAATTTGAAATTCAGATTCTGGAGCCTATAAATAAAGGTGTATTGGACGACACCCCAGCTCATTCTTCTGTGTACTGTCTGTGGCTCCTTTTGTGCTGCAGATACTGTATGGCCCACAAAAGCTAACGTGCCTGCTGTCTGGGCTTTCATAGAAGAAGTCTGTCGGTCCCTGCAGCGCACCTTGTTGCTCCTTCATCTCAGCCTTTGCCTGCCATGGTGTTACTAGAGACGTGGCAGGGCTGGCAGTTTAATTTGTCACCTCACTTCAGCTATGCGAAGCTGTTTCTCTCCTTTGAAACTAAGATCTCCTTCAACTGAGGGACAGCATCGGTTGCCAGAAATATGCAGTGCACCCGTAGATGCAGTGCACCAGTAGGTGTCCTGATAGTGGTCAGCAGGGTGAGACAGGCCTGTGCTGCGCTGTGGGGACAGAGGAACCTCAGATACTGTTCTGAGCCTCCACTTCATTTTTGTAACTCTTCCCCCCCCAGACAGGGTTTCTCCGTGCAATTTTGGTGCCTGTCCTGGATCTCACTCTGTAGACCAGGCTGGCCTGGAACTCACAGAGATCCGCCTGCCTCCGCCTCCCGAGTGCTGGGATTAAAGGTGTGTTCCACCACCACCCAGTTTATTTTTTAAATTTTTGTACACGTGTTTTGCCTGCCTGTATATATATGTGTACCTCGTTGCATGCCTGGTGCCCCCAGAGTCCAGAAGGAGGTGTCGATCCCTTAGAACTGGAGTTACAGACAGTTGTGAGCTACCACATGGGTGCTAGAACTCAAACCCACGTCCTCTGCAAGAGCAGCGAGCCCAGTCAGGCTTGGTGGCATACACCTTTATCTTAGCACCTTTCTGGAGGCAGAGCCAAGCTCACTTACAGTCAGAGTTCCAGGCCAGTCAGAGCTCTATAAGAAACCCTGTCTCAAAACAAAACAAAGAGCTGCAAGTCCCTTTAAACACGGAACCGTCTTTCCGTAGTATTTATTTTGTTTTATTTTGTGTAGGGTGGAACTGCTGGACTATCTTTCTTACCTTATGTTTTAATTTTATGCATTATCTATTTGTGTGAAGGTCGAAGGACAACTCTCAGGAGTAGTAAGTTCTCCTTGAGTGTGGGGTCTCCTCGGGAATTAGGTGTCCCCTTCCTCCATGGGTTCTAGGAATTGAACTCAGGGCTTCAGGTTTTCACAGCTAGTGATTTTACCCACTGAGCCATCTCACCAGCCCTGATCCTCCCCTCGCTCCCCCATTTTAAAAGGGGAGACCAAGCAAGTCATACTGAGTGGAAAGTCCAAAGAACTGAGGGTGTTGACTGTAAAGAAAAGAAGCCACCAAGACTGGGTACTGTCTTGTGGCTCTGAGGTAGAGAAAAGAAGCCACCAAGACCGGGTACTGTCTTGTGGCTCTGAGGAGCTGCCGGGGAGACTAGTATGTTCACCTGCAAGAGAGTTCAGCCTGGCCATGCACTGTGTAGACAGCGGGGATCGAAGGTGACCATGGTCATCCACACTCTCACCTCTCCTGTTCTTCTTTCTGGTGAGTTCCTCTCATGTAGTCTGTCTCCTCGCCCCAGCCTGGCCGTCTTACAGAGCTGTCTGTGTGCCTTTTCTTACAGATGAGGACGGCTAAACAAATGCCCTGGCCCTGCCAAGAGCTGGTCAGGAGGTTATTGTTTGCTGTGGCCGAAGCAGGGTCCGCAGTGGATCTGCCTGCCAGGCGGCTAGTGCCACACCAGATGGAGGAGAGTTCTGGCCAGGCTTTGCCGATGGGGAAGCTGCAGGGTTTGGAATTGGCGTGTAGGGCCTCCAGTTCAGCTGGGAGCATGGGCCTGCAGAGCCTTTGAGACTCCAAAGACATCACTCGGAAAGTCTGAGAGAGCCAGAAGGCAGTTCCCCTCCACTGGGACTTTGTCCTGGAGCTTGTAGTGTGGTTGAGCCCCCCTCTCAGGCGTCAGCTTTAGACAGTTCAGGAAAATTCTCTTCTGAGTCTAGAGTGATCTGGGCATAGAGAGGGCTAGAGCTATCTCTAAATCGATTAGGTTGAAGTGATCAGGTCCATGAAGGACTTTCCTAGATGGCTGCATCTTTTTGGCCCCTGGCCAAGTGTGGTTTCTGGCTTTGTTGAGTTCCAAGAGCCAGTCCATGTTTCCCTTGGGGCGGTGACATAGAATGTGGGCTTGCTCCATGGGCCTGCTCTTGGAGTCCAACCCCAGACATCAGTCAGTTTCCATTTGCCAAGCTCCAGAACAGAATGAGGAAGGGGTGGCTTCTGACCATTAAGCTCCCTGGGAAGGACAGCCATCTTTTCTTTCTTTTCTTTCCTTCTTTCCTTCTTTCTTTCTTTCTTCCTTCCTTCCTTCCTTCCTTTTTTTTTTTTTCTCGATTTTTCAAGACAGAGTTTCTCTGTGTAGCTTTGCACCTCTCCTAGATCTCACTCTGTAGCCCAGGCTGGCCTCGAACTCACAGAGATCCGCCTGGCTCTGCCTCCCAGTGCTGGGATTAAAGGCGTGCGCCACCACTGCCCGGCGACAGCCATCTTTTCAAGCTCTTCTAGTTGGTGTCAGGAAAGTAGGACAACACAATGGCCTGCCACCAACAAAGCCACAGGCCTGGCACTAACTCTCATCTCATTCTGCTGCTCGTGACCTCAAAGGCTCCTTGGATCCCATAGGGAGCACTGAGCTATGTGCTCTGTCTTTCCAGAAAGCCATCGATCTGGTGACAAAAGCCACAGAAGAGGACAAAGCCAAGAACTACGAGGAGGCGCTCCGACTCTACCAGCATGCTGTGGAGTACTTTCTCCACGCCATCAAATGTGAGTCACACTCAGGGTCCCCTGGCTGCAGTGCCCTGGGAGAGGGGGGCAGTCACATTGGACTTAGGAAGACCACACTGGGTTTCTGTTTTGCAGATGAAGCA